GCAGGCCCAGCCGGGATCAGCGGGCGCCGCCCGGAGCAGCGCGCACCCGCCGGCCTGCTCGCCGGCCGCCCCTCCGCATCCCGGGCCGCCGCCGCCGCCGCCGCCGGGCTCCTCGAACGGGCGGCGGCAGCGCTCCCGCTCAGCTCCCGCTGCAGCCGCGCGCCCCCCGCGCCCCTTTGTGCGCCGCCGTCGATGCTGCCGCTGCCCCGGCGCGCTGGCGATGCTGCCGCTCGGGCTACAACAAAGGGAAGGGAGGGGGCGAGGGAGCCGGAGGGAGGGGGCAGCGAGCGAGCGAGCGAGCGAGGGGGAGGGGGAGGGAGGGGTCCACGTGACGCGCCAGCCTCCTCCCCGCCCCCGCCCCCCGGGATCGGGACGGAGCGGGAGGGGTCCGGCGCCGGCCCGCCACGCCCCCCCCCGTCTGCCGATCGCGGGCACTTGCGCGGGCGCAGCGCCGGCGAGCGGCATCCTTCCGGCACGCGCGCCCGTCCTGGACCCGCAGCAGCAAGCGGCGCGGGAAGGGGGGCGACGCGGGGTCGCGCCCCCGACCCCCTTCTTGCACGCCTCGGAAGCGCCGCCGCTCCCCGGGGCGCGCTGGAGGAGGAGGCAGCGGGAAGGGCCCTGTGACATCTCCCCGCAGCGACCTGCCCCGCCTGGGGGGCTCGGGCTTGCCGCAGAGTTCACACGGAGGGGCGGGCGGGCGGGCGGGCGCAACTTCGTTTTCTTACTTGGGACTCACTGCAGCTGAGCGAGCATGCCAAGGCTTGGGTTGAAGCAGCCCAATCCTACATCCTGGGAAGAAGCCCCAGTGTAGACAGCCTTGGCTGCTCTTTTCCAAGAAAACCTGTTCGGGATTGAGCTGTGGGCGTCACTCAACTGTCCCCGGTCAGGTGTCCTGCCAAACAGGGCTGTGGGCAGATGAGCCACGTCTAGTTCAGCAGCTTTGGGTTCAAGGGAAGAGGAAAGAAGCCCTCAGGTGCCAGGTTGTCCCCTACCCCTGTCTGACAGAAAGCCCATTCATTTCACTGTGGTTCAACACGTTTAACTTTCAAGGCAAATGCTCAAGGCCTTAGGTTTGTTCCAGCCTTGTCTATGTGGCATTGCCTTCCACCTTAGCTGAACAAGATCGGCTTTGGTTTTGTACTGGGTTGATTTTTATGATTTGAAACCTTTAGCTGGATACAATCTATAAATACTCAACCCTTTCAACGGGTCCAGGCTAAGCAAGAGAGCACTGGTACAAGCCACCTTTAGGGCTACATGCAAATAGCATCCCTGGTCTCAATCAGCACAAATACAGCCCGTTGCTTTCGGAAGATTTAAGCACGTTTAACATTTTACATACCTTGGCTCAGTCATTAATTCCAAGCGGGACTGCAGCCAAGATGTTCAGCAAAGAGTGAGATTTGGAGGGAGAGCAGTTAAGGGACCGCAAGTGCAAGGACCCAGACCATCCATATTACTGGTTTCCCAGTCACGACGGATGGGTGTGAGAGCTGGGCAGTGAAGAAAGCTGGCAGGAAGAAGATGGATGTATTTGAAACACGGTGCTGGAGGAGAGCTTTGCAGATATTCTGGACTGACAGAAAGAAGAACAAGTGGGCCCTAGTTCTGATCAAGCCAGAGCTTTCTCGGTGACAAAACTGAGTCCGTCATGCCTCGGACAATCACCAGAAGGCAAAATGGACAGAAGAGACACAAGACAAGGAAGACCAATGTGAGATGGATTCACTCCATAAAGAAGGCTGCAGCCTGGAATTTACAAGAGCTGGGACAGGACATTCTGGAGAGCTTTTGTTCCTGGGGTCACTATAAGATAACCCAAAATGACAACAACTGTCTAACAGTAAAATAGGATGCAGGTTAACAGATGCCAGGTTGATAGAGAGAAGTCTCAGAATCTCACTTTCACAGGCAAGGTTTGCAACGAACACCAGGCTGCCCTGCATTCGTCTAATGGCTGAGCTGCAATTTGCACCAAAGCCTCCACGATCCGAGTTCATCTCCAGCCACTGCAGCACACTGGTTAGGGGCTCTTAAGGGGAGACGGAGCTCCAACTCCCTCTGGATTCAGTCAAAAGGCCAAGCTCAGACTGGTGGCAGGCACTGGCGGGGCGCTGGCCCACCCCCATTCCCTGGTCTGTTGCCATTCCCCCCCCCCCCCACCGGTTCTCTCCTGCCATCTCGCTCGCATATTCCATCCGCCTGGGATCTCCCGGGCGGGGGCTGCTCTTCATGGACCGGGAAGGCCGTTCCGCTGGCGGTGGCCCATCCTGCGCATGCAAAAACACACGCAAATGAGACCAAATGCCTCCCCTCCAAAAGAGGGCCTGCTCTGTGTACACAGCCCGGCTGAGCAGCCAGTCAGGCCTGGCCCTGCTCCGAGAGAGCGCTGGGGCGGAAGGGCTGCGGTGCTGCCCCTGCTGCCCCAGAGCGGGTGGGACGCGCCGCGCTGGCTCGAGCGGCCTTTGTTCGCCTGGCCGGCCAGCGGCCAGTCGGCGCCCGCGCGGGCAGCCCAGCCGCATCCACCCCCGCCAGCGGGCGCTGCTCGGGCCGCGCTCGGCCCGGAGGCGGCGGCATGTGCAAACCCTTCTCGAAGCAGGCTGGAAAGCGGCAGCCAAGAGACGTGGTGGTTTATTCCCATGCGGGCGGGCAGGCAGTTGCAAGCGCATCAGCATAATTATACCAGAATGATTTTGCGCGCGCGCACACACGCACACGCACGCACACACGCACGCCCTTGCTCTCACTGGTTGCTGATCTTTCTTAATTTCCAAGTGGGTGGATGAGAAAAAATTCATCCCAGCAGAATCCACGATTAATATATTTAACATCCTTCCACAGGGATGCAACTGAAGAAAGACGGGTAGAGGGAATGAATTTTATTTTCTGTAGCGCGTTGTATAAAAATGCATTTGGGCTCGGAGGCAGTGTGCGTTGGAATTTGCAAACTGATGCATTTGTGTGTGAGAGAGAGGTGTGTGAGAGAGGTGGGCAGATTCTGTCATTTCTTTGGCACTGAGCATGTGCTTGGATGTGCCAGACCTTCCACCTGCTTCTTAAAGGTGGTGCGTTTGCTACCCTGCTTGTTTGGTCTTTTTCTGGACTGCCCATTTGCCTGGGCCTCTGTCCTCCATCCTGGGTTTCATAACCCTTTCCTGTAGGTTTGAGCAAATTAATTTGCTCCATGTCTGCCCCAAAAAGAAGTGATGTTATTACTGAGTTCCTTACAGGTAAAGCTGTATCCTGAAAAGGCAGATTCGTTTTGCATAGCCTTTTCCTCATCTAGATACTACAGATGTCTTTGAGAAAGGTAAGGTCATTAGTCCCTACTCATTACGCTACCTGAAAGGAAAAACCAGCTTGATCCTGGATATTTGCTCTTGAGGAACTGGGCTGGTTGAAATGATTGCTTTTAAGATTAACTGCATTTCAGGATAAACTACTTTTGATAGACCATAATCATGGATTGACCATGAAATTTATCTCATCCTACTTGTTTGAAGGGTCATTGTTTATAGATACCTACTCACGTGTAAGCCCCATTTTCAGTGGAGCTTATTTTTAATTAAGGGGGCATAGGACTGCAGTCTTAACAAGTGTCCCTTAATGATTGTGAACCCCCTCTCTTGGAGGCTTTGAAGCATCCGATGCAGAGTGGAGCAAGAGGTGGAGGTGATCCCTAAACCTCCCACTCTACATTTTAGCTATTTGTGGCATGTCAAGAGACCGTGTGGCATAGTGGGTAAGAGTGTGGGACTGGGACTCAGGAGATCCAGGTTTTAGTCCCTGCTCAGCCATGGAGCTCACTGGGTGACGTTGGGCCAGTCAAGACTCTCAGCCTGGCCTACCTTGCAGGGTTGTTGTTAGGGTAAGATTGAGAGGAGGAGAATTATTTACACTCCCTTGAGTTGTTTAAAAGAAAAAAGGTGCAGTATAAATATAATAAATAAAATAAATAAATGTCAAAGAGTAAGAAAGGGAGGCTGGAGCATTGACAGGATGCTGGCAATTCTAGTCTCCTCTCCTCTCCACCTCCCAGAATATGCCCTTTAAGCCCTCTCCAGGGTTGATTTTCTGACCTCAGAGAAGCATCGATGGCAGCTTCTTTTGGAAAATTTAGATCTGGGAATCCGAGCATCTTTTGTCCACTTCCCATTACGCCTAAGATGCATAGAGAGGCTGACTCTCTTGGTTTGTTTCTTTCTACTGATTTCCTGTTGTACATAAAGATCTTTCAGGCTTTCTGTGTTCCACATGCATAAAACCTGTCTGCGCATTCTGAAGGGTGAACCCCCCCACACACCCCCATACGTTCAAGAGGCATTGGATATGTTTCAGCATCTTCTTCTACCATCTTTGGCTGGTGGTCCAACTATGCCCTCTCTGACCAGGGATAACCTGGCTTCAGCCATCTATGCCTTGGACACCTCCAAGTTAGATTACTGCATTGCACTCTGTGTGGGGCTGCCCTTGAAGACTGTTCAGACAGTGCAGTTTGTACGCACTGCAGCAGCCAAACTACTAACTGGGAGCAGAAGGTCGGAGTACCAGCAATTCTGGAGGTTATCCTTCCAAATAAAGTGTTGCCTTCTTGAATATGTGCCCCTTCTGGATTGTTGTTGTTAGTTGCAAAGCTGTGCCCAGCCCATCACGACCCCATGGACAACCTTCCTCAGGTTCTCCTGTCCTCCACCATCCCTCGGAGTCCACCCAAGCTCACACCCACCGCCCCAGTGACTCCATCCAGCCACCTCATCCTCTGCCGCCTCCTCCTCCTTTTGCCATCAATCCCTTCTGCATTAGTGCTGTCCATTTCCCAAGATCTTCTAAACACCATGAAATGTGACACTAAGCAACCAAGTGCGCACAGAGGTAGGCAGACTCACAAACTACTGTGCAGTTTTGCCCTTCTGCAGGTTGCGAAGCCTAAAGCAAAACTGACATAAGCAGTGGGTCTGTTTTCCCCTGCTCTCACTGCCCCGGGATCTGCCTATGCTGAGTTACTACACATCAGAAACTCCACATATATTTAAAACTGCCCAGGAGAGCTGTTCAAAAGCAGCCAGGTAATAATATTGCCTGCATTTTATAGGCAAAGAAAAATGAGATGGAAAGATAAGCAATTAACACAAAGCCAGTCATGGCCACGATTTTTAATTTAGTTATTTATTATTTATTTGCAAAGCTAACCAGAAACTTGCACCAGCACTATCAAGCACGAAGTTTCATCTTACAGCTGCAGCAAGCGCTTTATGTGCAGAGATGCAGAATTTGCCCGTGGACAGCAGAAAATTTAGGACTACAGTCTTCTGTTTTCATTGGTAAACAATGAAAACTGGGAGTTAGAAACCTGGGAGTTAGAAACCTTTCCTTATTAAGTACAAATCAGCTAGAAATCAACTGGTAGCTTCTGATCTACATATTTCCTTTCCAGATACAGAAGAGGTAACATGTATGTGAAAAGAGAAATCAAATGAGAGAATGATTGAGAACAGTGAAAACAGCCTTAAAATAAGAGACAGACTAACAAACCTTTACAATAATCAGCAGAAGATAGGGCAAGTTTCTGTGGGGAATTAGAGTTTCAAACTACGGGAAGAAAACTGACAAATTTTAGTGAGAGCAGCAATAATACAGAAAGCAAAGAATTAAAAAATGCTTAGAAAACCGGAGAGAGATGATGCCAACGGTAAAGAGAAGGTGAAAGGGAAGCTTTAGAGCAGGGGTCTCAAACTCACGGCCCGCGGGCCAATTGTCAGGACGGGCAGGGCACGGCGGAGGGGCCGTGCGGCCTTCAAAGCGCCGGCGGCACCCGGGCCGGCCGCAGGATGAGCGGCCCAATACTTGATGCGGTCCAGCCTCACCCAGACTCTACTTCCAGCGACCCCCAGGTAAGTTGAGTTTGAGTCCCCTGCTTTAGAGTAAGGGTGCATGCAGCCTTGGATGCCAGCTGTGGGGGTCTGTGTGGTCGGTATACATGGGTATATGCAGGTGCCTATATGTGTGTGCATACATGTACGCCTGTGTGCATGCATCCTGTCACCCCAGCGCTTGGCAGCGTGCACCACACTTGTGGTCGGAAAAGTCATCCAGCTCAACTCAAGCCATTCAGTCTTCCTCACTGTAAAACAGAGATAATCCAATGGCCAGGCGGATGGTGCATAACAACAGAAAAAGAAAGGAGGGCGGGGAAGCACGGCCATAGCTCGTTGGCATAAAAGTGACATGGCGATCCAAAGGAAGACGAGGGAGAACGTGACCATCCTGCCAACAGTGGTGGACCACAGTCGTTTCCACCTTCTCTCCCACCCACAACCAGCCAATGCAACTAACGTCTTTCTCTGCCAGCCCAGAGCCAGAGAGCTGGCCCGTCTCGGACCGGGCTATTTTTCTTCCTTGGTGCCAGTCCAGGCTGCAAATGCTCATTAGTTTAAAGCCAATTATGTTTTCCCCAAAGAATCCCGGGAACTGTGGCTTGGAGAAAGCCCTGAGAACACTATTAGTGATCCCGAGGGCTCCCTGGGATGGCACCGTTTCTATCAAACCATCACAGTTTTCCCCAGAATCCAGTGAAATTACTTCTTAATAAAAAGCTTCATTGCTTATATACGCTTTTCATTTACTGCAGCTCACTGGCAGTGTTTGTTGCTATTTTCAGCTTCTATTTTCTTTGAATTTGTTTACATGTTCCTGTGACTCATAATTACAACCAGCCTCCTATATAGATTAGATTATTGACTCTCTTTTCCATTCCGAATTCCATCACATTCTATGCTGCGTGTGACTTTGTCCAACGGCAACAACGTCTGTTTGTTCCTGTATTTAGAATGTTATGCAGTCCCATTGAGAGAGACAATTCCCTGCATTTCCATTTGACCTTCTGCAACCTTTGGAAGACACCCACATCAGAAAGCAAGTGGAAAATCCATGCCTAGGACCTTCAGTC